ATGATGTCACAGTATGATTTATGCTGCACGTCGATCCCAAATGCCTTCTTGTGGTGACATTTTGAATATCTGGAGCTAAATGCAATTGCTCATAACGTTGACTTCATCTTCAGCAAACGAATGCAGCTCAAATATCCCAATAGACTGGTGCATAAAGCGTGGCAAAATGTCAATGCGATGTTCATTTCTGTTCTGTTGTTATCGAGTAGGTACTTATAGTACACTCGGGGGCACGAGTGGCCTCGTCGTCGAAGGCGCCGCGATTTGCTAAGCAGAGTTGCGTCCCTTGGACGCGCCAGAAACCTATGATTGTGGGTTCGAATCCCGGCTCGCCCCGATTATGTTTCTAGGTTTGTCAGCACCATACCCGTACTCGTGGGTTTCAACGAGTTGGTAAACGTCTGAGACCTTCATCACTTCGGGCCTTCCTCCCACATTAAGCTGACACTCTGTGATATAACTGGAACTCTGTTAAAAGCGTTAAACACAACTCACTCACTCACTACAATACACTATGCACACTGAGTATCACAAAATTTAGTACAAAGCAGAGACGAAAAAAGATAAGTATATCATTAGTTTCAAAACAATAAGCAATATTCCAGGTGTTTTGCAATGGCTTTTAATAAAGTAAAGTCGGGGATTGACAAACCAGTGGTATATATCAAGTAAATAAACATTGGGAATGCATGTGGCCTACATTGTAGTCTAAAGTACAATATTTGATTATGACACCAAACGTTCGCGTAAGGAGTAAACATGTTCATCTTACGTGTTGTATTCGGAGCGGTCGGCTAGTGTTTGAAGCGTTCGCTCATCACGCCAAAGACACGGGTTTGATTCACGACATGGGTACAATGTGTGAAGCCCATTTTTGGTGTTCCCCGCCGTGATATTGCTGGAATCTTGCTAAAAGCGGCGTAAAACCACACTCACCCACTCAGTAATTCACTGACGTAAATGTAAATGTTTACGACCGTTGGAATGATGAACGGAAATGCGGAAATCGAATGTCGGATATACACGATGTCATTGAAGTACTGAAATTGACTGAAACGTGTTCCAAAGTGAGGACTGAGTGAGTTTTGTACATGTGAATAAATGATTGCTATATACGATACATGTATTGTTTTGTCGACTCTGTTTGGCAGAGTAGGTCATTGGATGGATGGTCCGTAAATAATCAAATCTTGATCAGAGTGAGTCTAGTTTTACGCTGGCTTTGCCAATATTCCAACAGCAACAAGGGGGACGCCAGCAATGGCTTCACAAATTGTACCCATTTGGGGAATTGAACCCGGGTCTTCGATGTGATGAGTGACAAGCGAACGCTTTTTTCGGAGAATCCAATGCTGGATAGCATCAGAAACGATCAACGACAGTGTCGGACGAGACACACTTAAACAGGCAGCCCATAACACAAAAATATACACGATATTTTCACGCATGCATACAATGACCTATTATTGTCCAGTAAAATGTAGATAATTTGAATTAGGGATCATTGGGACATAAGGTGCCTCTGCTTCCTGCACGATACCACAGCAGGATTTACGTCATCACTTTAGCTCCTGGCGGTTGTGTACAAAACTAGCCAATATTAAAAATGCTCTGCAACAAGTTAGCTTAAAACACTGCTTGATGATAGTTACACTGATTATGATAGGATTTACGTGTCAAACAGGGGGACAATTATTTTACCGTACTTCAACCTCCTGGGCAGAGCATGCAATGACCTATTATTATCTAGAAACATGTAGATAATTTGTAAATATACATTATTAGAGCGACGGGATTTTGAAACTTTTGATACATTGAAGAGTTCTTATGTGTGTTTGTATGTTTGTTGTTTAACGCCGCACTGCGCAATATTCCAGCTATATGGCGGCGGTCTGTAAGTAATCGAGTCTGGACAGATAATCCGGTGATTGACATCATGAGTATCGATCCAGGCAATTGGGATACGATGACATTCATCAACCAAGTCAGCGAATCTGACCACGAAAAGCATACATGTAGTTACCTTTTACGACAAGCATGGGTTGCTGAAAACCTATTCTACCCCAGATCTTCACGGGTCTAAGAGTTGTTGTACGGATAGTAGACATCAAATAGAAACTTCACAGTTATGGGTGGGGAAACAGAGACCGAAACAGTCAGCCAGGTCACTCAGATAGGTAACCACAGATATTCTATCATGACGCTTTAGAATGCTTCAGTTTGATTGGTGAAAATCAGGTATCTAATTCCACATGCCCCACTTTTTGTGTGAAAACGTTGATCTATCGAGAGCCTACTCATCGATGCATATAATAATGACTGCCACTAACCTATTATAATTGTATACGTTCAATATCGGAATAACAGCTTATCAAAGATGATGAAATCCAAGTCAGGACCAATACAATTATGTTGAAAAGCACTCACAAACACACTTAAGCGCGAGGTTTCAAATTGAAATAAGAGGTATCAAATCTACAATGAGACGACCTCAAATATCAAAACACAGTAGGTTAATTTGATGATTCGTCAGCTCTAACGACAAGCATCGGGGCATATTTTACGCAAGTATCACCACAGACAAATAGGCTTGAGGTGGTGAGGTTAAACATTCAGGATATAAAGGTTTATATCGCCCGATGATGGATAAATGCGCTTTACATTATCTATATTAAAACAAAATTGGATAAAAATATATTTTCCAATATAAAATTCAGACAGGTTTTGAGGTTGTCGGACAAATTAACGACATCAGCATCACTTTAGGCTTTCTAATCAGCGAGACCAAGGTCTAGTGGCAGACCGTCCTCCCAGAGAGTGTCATACCAAATCAGTCAGTGCGGGGTATTCATGTTAAACTGCGGCATGGTATCTCAGTGGGCTAGCATTTTAAATCGGAATCAGTCCGGACTAGTACAAGCAGCCACACACGCGCATGCACGTCCCTTTATAAGTGCAATAATCTTGGACGCGACGTTGAACCCAATTTCAGCTCACCTCATTTGACCTAATTGGTGAATCATGTTTGTGATTGACAGGTGGCATAACGATAACGATTACAGTCACATGGTATCTCCTTGAGGTGTCTCCATTGACGGATGACATACATAGAGAAAGAGCAGGGAGATAGATGAAGCCTAGCTGCTAGCAGGTAAGGATGCCCTTATTCGTCTTTACATTGACATATTTCTGTGGTAGTCACAGGTTGCCTAGCTGCTAGCAGGTAAGGATGCTCTTATTCGTCCTTACATTGACATATTTCTGTGTTAGTCACAGGTTGCCTAGCTGCTAGCAGGTAAGGATGCCCTTATTCGTCCTTACATTGACATATTTCTGTGGTAGTCACAGGTTGCCTAGCTGTTAGCAGGTAAGGATGCCCTTATTCGTCTTTACATTGACATAATTCTGTGTTTTATTCTCGAAAGATAGGAGAGTGGTCCCGTCAGTGGTATTCAACAAAATACTGCTGTCCAATAGCTTAGATGAGTTCCATAAAACAGAACATGTCCAATCAGCAACTGCCTCCATGGTGTCACACAAGTGTTTGAATAATTATATTTATGACGTCATTTCGCGAACACCTGGTGTCATCACTGATTTTCAGTGGTCCATTCATAGCATTTCCTTTATGCCAAGTTGTAAATGTTTTGACAGAAATTCTAGGCTGGTTATTCTCTTGCATTGACAATTTATAGTTCCATATATTTATGCACAGGGATAATGGCGCTGTTAACTGTATTTTAGTTGTGACGATGAACAAAGTTGAAATAAACAAGATGGCGGGCCTGATGTGGGTGGCTTGGGACAGGTCCAATTGAGCCCCGCGTCCCGTCAAATATACGATCTTGATTAGAGGCACGTGACAGCCTATCTCTCACCTGTTCTGACGTATACAAGAGCCCCCAGAAGCAAATGTAGGTAGCTAGACGCTGATGTCACAAAACTTGATCAGGCTTAGACTGCTATCAGTGGTACAAGGGGCAAATGCAAGTTACACGTATGTTTGTTTGATGTTTAACGCCGCAGTCAGCAATATCCAAGCTATATGACGGCGGTCTGTAAATAATCGAGTCTGAACCAGACAATCCAGTGACTGACATCATGAGCATCGATCCACGCAATTGGGATCGACGACATGCATCAACCAAGTCAGCGAGCCTGACCACCCGATCTTACATTAAGCATAGTCGCTGAAGACCTATTCTACCCCGGATGTTCACGGGAACTGATTAAGTAGAGGATACAGATAGTGACTATTTAATTTATGTACTCCCCTGCAGTTTGTGCCGAATTCCAATTATAATTTTGTTAAAATGTGAAGCACTGTTACAACACAGAGTAACGCTATTCCTGTACAATGCAGACAGTGACCGAATTTATTTAAACTTGGGAAAACGCTGAAAAATAATAAATTTGTGGTTTTGACACAGAGGTCCATGCATGGTTCGACCCCGGAATATGTTGAGGTCGTCATGGAAAATGATAAATACAGAGTTCTTTGGAATGGGCTTCCTGGGTGAAGTCCCTGTCTGGGCTGCGTGTAGAAGGGGCAAGGGCCCTCAGCCGATGATGAGGCTAACCGGGCTGACTGTGCCAGGATCACCCAAACCCTCTTTGCTGCAGTTTTAATTTTAATCTGTAAATAATAATAATAACAATAATAATAATGATAATAACAGTACATTTGTATGACTCATATATCCATGCATAGAAACAGATATCACTACATGTAACAATACATAATAAAAAGGGCTATAGATCGCCAGCAGGTGATTTTGGTTTGTTGTTTAACGCCGCACTCAGCAATATTCCAGCTGTATGACGGCGGACTGGACTAGACAATCTAGTGATTGACATCATGAGCATCGATCCACGCAATTGGGATATGATGACATGCATCAACCAAGTCAGCAAGCCTGACCACCCGATCATGTTAGCCACCTCTTATGACAAGCATAGTTGCTTCCTGGATGAAAGTGTTTAACTTTCTCTTGTCAGAAATGTCAGAGAAGCATCCTGAGAGGGCGACAGAACCTGAACATCCTCACAGGGAAAGTGCGACATGTGAGATACAGGATGGAGCTGAAGACTTGGAACATGTCCACGGGAGACTTCCCGGATTGATGGCTACCCTGAACCTGGAAGAGAGCATCGGTCTTCCCACAAGGGCAGATGGTGGTCATGACACTGCTCAAGGAACACATGGTGATGTCGTTCCCCAAGGAGCACATGGTGATGAGACTTTCACAATGGACAACCCAGCATCATCAGACGTTCTGGAGCGTCAGACTGGACATGACGATGATGTTAGTGTCGTTCCTCAAGGAACACATGGTGATGAGACTTTCTCTATGGAGATGGTAGCAACAACAGAAGTAGTGGAGCGTCAGGCCCGGTCTGGGAATGGTGCCATGGCTGTTTCCGAGAGAAGAGAGAGGCAGGCAGTGTCAACCAGAATCACTGCAGGTGAGTAGAATGTTAATGTGTATATGCCTGATATCACAAGCAAAATACTACGTTCAATCACTGCTCATGAACAAATATCAGCATAAATTATCAGTATTATACACTTTCAATCAGGCAACAAGCCACGATAAGCCCCACAGGACTAACTCTTTGTACTCTCATTCCAGGCCCTGACTTTAAAGGCATCATCGTACAAGACTCCTCAGATGTCAATCTGTCTCTAGGAGGTCAGAATGCAGGAATAATGAAGTCAGGTAATAATGCCGAAAACATTGTCCTGTTATGGAGCAAAACCATATTCAAGTGATATTTAGTTGTTACTGTAAGGCAGAAAATCACTGCTTCCTGATTGGTTCAACACGCAGCGTGCTGATTGGTGCATTCAAGTGCCTGACCTGCAAAACGACCCGACCCTTGTGTTTCTTTTCCCTAGGAAATGTTTTTTTCCATGGGAGAGAAAGCACAACTCGGGTCGCGTGCTGTCTTCTGATTGGTCGGTGCTGTCTTTTGATTAGTCGAAAACCCAAGTCTCTGATTGGTCAAGTTTCGATCCTGTTTTGGGGAAGGGTTGTCTATAAATCAGACGTTCAGTCGCCATCATGACGGACAAGCAGAGTACAGCCTATCGTTTGGAGAGGAAAGAGCGTTCCCATAGAACTGCCGTCTTTATTTGACAGGGTGATCGATGACTTCTATCAACAGATGTCAGGCCAGAAGGGAGATCGTATTGGTCTAGGTATTGACCATCCTGCTTTGAACACCCCCATACGGATTCCCTTTCGTCGCTTTGAAGATCTCCATGGGTTAGATATCTTACATGCCGTGGAAAAAGTCCAACAGTCCAACAAAGCCCTGAACATCGATGCCACCATGGTTGTGACTTTAGTACACGTTGCAGATCCCGACAGGCTAGGATCTGGCACTGGTGGCCATCGACTGAAAAATGTGGTTGGACTTGAATTATTTTTAGAACGCAAAGGGGCATTGTACGGATCAAGAATGAAGATCAATCCTGTTTGACATGGGCCCTTGTGGTGGCACAGCATTGGGCCCAGAAGCCCAACCCTCCGACCCAAGAATGGGACACCCAGAGAAAGAGACTGACGAGAAAGGGTCGACGAACCGACGTTCAAGGCAAACAGGGACAGAAATTATTTCGGAGCCTTGGCATTCCAGAAGGTCCCTGTCGGGGCCTGGACGACCTAGCACGCGTGGGACGCGCCTAGGCCCACATTAATTATCAACTGAAAGTCTACAGTCAAGAGGTGGACCACAGACTGATGTACAAGTGTGATGAGGCTCCACCGAACGCCACCATGCTGCATTTATTCAATCATGATCACCATTAAAATGTGATCACTTCCATGACAGTCTTTTATGCATCTAGCCATTACTGCGAATGCTGCGACCACCGTTACGACCATCCTAAAAACCACCCCTGCACCAAGCAGTATCGTTGCCACCGCTGCCCCCACTCCAGCTATTGTGGACCCAAGGAAGAGCACGGGATCCCTCGCTTGACATGTCAACGCTGGTTCCCAAATCAATACTGTTACACCCAACATCTCAGAGGGAAAACCCAGCGCTTGTCAATCGATTCACAGGTGCCCGACCTGTTATCAGATGGTCCGCGTCTTGGAGACCCCCATGGCTCATCACGAGTGCTCAGATAAAGAACGATACCCGATACCCGATACCCGATACCCTCACCATTCTTCCACCTCAAGACTACCAATCCAAGAGAAACTATTCCCAGGCCTGTATGCACTGGTTAACTTATCTCATGGAGACAGACCCCGATCTGCACCTCCAGCACACCAGGAATGGAGGTGAAAAATGCAACAGGGGGACTTCACTTTGCGTGCTCTCTTGCAGGGATCCCACTGTATCCACATACCTGCACCGCTGAACCCTCATGACGCTTTCTATGGATGATGCACCAATGCCACTCGATTATGCTATGAAGCCCAAGAAGGTAAAACCATCAAGTATATTGATATCTGTTCACTTTATGCTTACATTTGCAAGACTGGAGCGTTTCCCACGGGACACCCGACCCTTCTCCATCAACCGCCTGTGGACACGTTGTTGAGCTGAAAGGACTTATCCAATGTCATGTCCTATCTCCAAAACGACTCTACCATCTGCTACTGCCTTACAGATCGGGTGGTAAACTGCTCTGTCCTTTGTGCCGCACGTGTGCTGATACCCGATCAGACTCACCCTGCAAGCACACGGACGAAGAGAGGTCTTGGGTGGGCACGTACGCCACCGTAGAACTCCATGAAGCCGTTAAGAAGTATGGTTACAAGGCGCTTCAGTTCTTTGACGTTTGGCATTTTGTCACCTTTGCAAAGCATGACCCCGACACCCAGCAAGAAGTACTCTTTGACACTTATATCGACCGCCATTTCAAGGAGAAGCTCAAAGCCAGCGGATACCCCGAGGGATGTACCGATCACGACGTTTAGATCTATGACAAAGAAGGCATTCGGTTGGACAATGACCGCATCGAGAAGAACCCAGGACTTCGCACTATTGCCAAGCTCTTTCTTAATTCACTCTGGGGCAAGTTCGGACAGTTGTTAGACTATAGGCAGAACGTCTACATGAACGATCCTGCGCAGTACTTTGCCTTGTGGAGGGATGAACGAAATACCATCGAGGATGTCACCATCGTCAACGAACACATGGTGGAAGTGACCTATACCCACAAAGAAGAATTCCAAACCCCTCATTCTCAGTTCAATGTCGCCATAGCTGCCTGGATCACCGCCAAAGCACGTCTCAAGCTGTACGAGACCCTCGCCCTGGTGGGTCGCAGGGTCTTGTACTTTGACACGGACAGCGTCATTTACATTCATCGACCCCACGACACGAATCCAGACCTAGGCCATTCGTTTGGTGAGTTTACAGACGAACTGGACGGAAGCACCATCCAGACGTTTGTGTCAGAAGGCTCAAAAATCAATGGCTATGAGTTAATGAACCCCAGACCCGATGGAACGCGCGCGACATGCAAAGTGCATGGGTTCACCTTGAATTACAGAAACCAACAACACCTCAACTTTGACACCATGAAAGGACTGATACTGGGACAACGGCCTGGGAAGGAGGGGGAGAAAATCAGCTTGGATTACCCTCATCACATCATTCGTAAAGGACCTTGGCATGGTAACTCTCTTGTGACCCGGCCAACCCGAAAAGTGAGTGAGTGAGTATGGTTTTACGCCGCTTTTAGCAATATTCCAGCAATATCACGGCGGGGGACACCAGAAATGGGCTTCACACATTGTACCCATGTCGGGAATCGATCCCGCGTCTTCGGCGTGACGAGCTAACGCTCCACCCGAAAAGACTACCGCACCGTTTACGACAAGCGACGCCTCGTCTACGATGAAACCACAGGGCTGCCTGGAGACACGCTCCCCTTTGGGTACAGGGACGACTAGATCATTTTTTATTTCATACCATTGGGGTGTCACAATGGATCAAAAGTGAATCGACACCTACAGAAAAAACGGATCGAAATCTGACCAATCAGAAGCCTGGTTTTTCGACCAATCAGAGACCGCCTTTGCCCTGGGCGGACCTCTGATTGGTCGAAACGAGGTTGTGCTTTCTCTCTCATGCTACAAGCCTGAGCCTATGGAAAAGAAACACAAGGATTGGTCCAGTTTGGAAAAAATTGAGGCTCAGACCAGGCACCGGAACGGACCAATCAGGAAGCAGGGTGTCAGTGTCTTAAAACTGACAGACGCTTCCGGTCATCACTTTTCACTGAACGGTCCAAGCAACAACATCGTCCTTCTAATTGATGTTCCTCACGTTGTGTCGGCTCTTAGCGTTTTATCTTTGGAGAGAGTACCATCAAGTGTTGACTCACATCCGTGAAGACTTTGGAATAAACAAAGAACAGAAAATCCGGACAACATCATGTCGAAACTTAACATGTTGGTAGAGGGAGTGGAGATGGGAATGGTGAAATGACTGCTGAATTGTAGGGTGAAGGCCGACGAAGTGATGTGCGACATGATATGTTCGAAGATGAGGAAACTGGCTGAACCCAAGAAAGTAGCACCAGCAGCAGCATCAACCACAGCAGCAACCACAGCTAAGACGGTCCATGAATGCCATGCCATCGTCCCGAGATGTCCCCGATACCGAGGGGGTGTCTAAAAAGGGGAGAGAAAAAGCGAGAAAACGCACACTCTTTATGGAGGACACACTCTTTATGGACGACACATGGCGACTCAGTGACTATCTGGAGGGACCTTTTCCTTCTTACACCTTGTGTCATCCTTCTCATCCTAACTATGATTCATTTCAAGAACGTCTGGGGTATGGTCAAACGTGGCCTAAACAGATGACCCAGACCCCTTATGACATGGCCATGGCTGGTCATTTCTATCAAGGACGAGGTGACTGTGTTATCTGTTATTGCTGCGGTGACACTCTGCCTGGAAAGAACATCTGAAGCACGCCAAAGTTCCCTGCGAATACTTGTGTGTGTTTTGTCCTGATGGAGAAGTGAACGAAAAATATAGACGTTTGGTGCCCGAAGAAGCATGGAAGAGAAGAGTCGAGTGTCTTGTTCACCACTAGTGACAAACTTTATTTTTCTTCCAAAGTTTACAGACGTTCATACCCTCGTGGTCACCCTAATATTCACAAAAATCACAGGGACGCCCCTAATCCTGTGACTTTTGTTTTGTTATGTTGGTTCATGTGAGCGGGGGATTAAACAGTTGAACAAACATAGCGTTATGGTTTTTATTAGCATGAAGAAAAAACAAAACAGGATTGAAATGCACACGCAAGAAAAAAGCCGGATTGAAATCTGACCAATCTGAAGCCTGGGTTTTTTATCAATCCGAGGCAGCGCTCGGGGCGTGCTGGGTTTGATTGGTCGAACCGGGGTTGTGCTTTCTCTCCCATGGTAAAATCCATTTCCTAAGGAAAAGAAACACAGGGGTCGGTCCGTTTTGGAAAACCGACACTCAGACAAGGCACCTGAACAAACCAATCGGGGGCGCTGCAGGAATCGTCAGGAAGCAGGGTGCCAGTCCCTTTCCTATAAAACAAGATCGAAGCCACTCATACTGCATTCTAAGAAATCAACCATGTCGTCTTGATACAGCTGCATGAAGTGTCAGACCGACGGTCACAGTTACCTGTACTGCCCTGAAGTGAAGTGTACAGTGATGTGCCACACTCAAGGTCACCGCTACTATGTCTGTCGGAAGATAAGCAGTCAAGATAAGCAGAAGACACCCCCGGGCCCATGTTACAACTGTCAAGTCGTGGGTCATTTCCCTGCAGATTTTCCAGAACTCAGTCAAAAGAAAATTCCCCTTGGCCCATGTTACAACTGCCAAGTCGTGGGTCATTTTGCTGCAGATTGCTCAGAACCCAGTCGAAAGAAGACTTCAGCAGCGCCGTCCATGTCGACACCAGTGACACAAGTGACACAAGTGGTTCATCTCATAGAAGCCATGCATATCGATGTCTGTACCCTATGCATCTCACAACTCCGTGCGGGCATCACACCACGTCAAGGGAAAAGAAAACGGGACAGAAGCCCCTCAAGAAAACACTCTTCAAAGCGCCGACGACGTCATCTCTCCGAGGAAGAGGAGGAGGAAGATAGTTCATCTGAGCAAAGTGACTAACGCATAGGACATGCTGCTCCAATTTTTTTCCAGTTTCCAGTTTTTCCAGTGTTCCAGTGTTCCTACAGTTACCTGCCGTTTCCAGTGTCCAGTTTGTTTTCCAACGGCCCTTTTCAGGGCCACCCATCTCTCCCGAAAGAACGCTTTCATCCATGGCCTTAACGACCCTCAAACCAAAACAAAGAACCCACCACCACCACCACCACCACCACCTCCCTCCACCATCACCACCTCCACCCACACATTGCATTGTATTTGTGAAAGATCAGCATGAAATTGGTTTCGGTTTGGTTTTTGGGGTACATGTCAGTCAATACTTGCATCGGATTGCCAAAGCACAGTGCATTATATCACATAGCCAGAATGTATTCACATCTGACTGTAACCACTAATTTAACTCACGGCTTCTCAAGTAGGAATAGTTTGATAGTTAGTTTCCTTATAATCAGTAAAAGGTCCTGTTTAGCAGCTACGAGAGTTATTACGTATATCAAGAAACAGAAACTAATTGTTATTTGGCTCTGGTTTGTAAAGGAATGTGTTTACCATTTGATGTTTGATAATATATATATATATATATATATATATATATTTGATATATCATGTTCTGAATGTTGGTTTCAAATTAACATATATCATTTTTTGTCTTGTAGATTTATTAAAGATCAAAATTAAACAAGTGAAAGACGTCTATGTCAAAACTGCCATCTACAAGAGAGTGAAGGAGCAGCTGGAGAAGTATGGCCACGTGACAATAAGTGGTGCTTCTGGTGAAGGGAAAACTTCCACAGCTTTAATGGTAGGAGCAGATTTCAGAAAACAGGGATATCAACTGGTATTTGTTGATGATGTGGACACGTTCAAGCTTGACAACTGTGAACTGTGTGGGGAGAATGTATGTCTGATACTGGATGATATATTTGGAACAGTTGGCTTATCAACTGATGTGCCACATCTAAGGTCCATTTTACAAAATCTGAAACATTATTTAGAAGATATCCAATATAACAAGGCAGAACAACAGGAAACACGCCAATCCACGAAATCAATGATTCGTATCATCTTCACCACCAAATCATATAACCTAGAATGTGGAATCGCAAAGCTGGAAGGCCAAGAATTTTATTTCTTCTCAGGACCGTCACTTCTTGATTTGACAAAAATGAAATCATGTCATTACAGTCATGAGGAGAGAAAGAGAATACTTCAGAAACATCTACAATATCATAATGTCAAATTGGAGCTGGACATCGATACAATATGTGACACAGCAGAGTCTATGTTTGGGTTCCCTTTAACATGTAAACTGTTTTGTAAATTTCTAAGTTTTCAAAAAGAACCTGCACAGTTCTTCAGAGAACCTTTGTTTTATCTACGGAGAGAACTTGATATGATTATGGAACGTAGGAATGACCAGTCGGCTGCGCTAATCCTGATGCTGCTGTGTAAAGATAATGTGAACTTGAGCCAGGTGGAAATGGAATCTGAAAATATTATTTTAGAAGCTAACTTGCAGGCTGTCAAAAGTGTGGTGACAATTACGACACGGACTGCAGTCGCCAAAGCTGCCAGATGCTACAGGGGTACATTTCTCACAGCGGGAGACATCATTGGATTTTCCCATCCTACAATCTATGACGCCTGTGCGTGTGCCTTATTTAATATGAATCCATCGTTTGTCCTGAAACACTGCAGTATAAGATTCCTCTATGAGCGTGTACAGGCTCAGGAAGTCGAGTCCACCACAATAGATGATCACCTGCACATCATCTACCTGTCAAATGTTTACAATGACGCAA